ACTTGTAGAAGTACTATACGCATGAAGGTATTGTATACATATATCTACATAAATTATGAATAATGTAGCATTTACAGAAAATGTATATAATTGTCTGCTAGTATGATTTCGTACTTCAATTATATACCTACGATTTATCGAATATTTTTTATGTTTGGTAAACTACATCACTTTCTAAAAGATCCCACACAAAAAACGCAAAAAAAATTACAATTAAATATTTGTATAACTGTAGAGGTATCGAAGAAATATAATATATTACAGCTTCAATTAGTAAATCCCTAACAAATTTAGGCTGTGTAAAATTATAATTACCTTTGCACGCTGAAATGAGAAAGTAACCGCTCTCGCAAACGTCACTAAAATCCAAATGCACTACGGGACGGGTATGACCACTGCAGGTCAATGGGATTTGACGCAAATTAGAGGTCATCCTTTCAACTTTGTGGTTGTCGTGTTCAACGCCTTATCTTGTTAATAACTAATTTGAATTATAATTGTAAGTATATTGAAATAATTTTTATCCTTCAACTTGACGCTGGCGGCGCTGCCAAAAATGAACAACCTTAGTTAAACGTTGAAGTTTTCTACGCCGCCGTTGCTATTTCTTTCGGCTTGCTGCCGTAATTTTAGTTCCTCCGTTTTCGGTTTTTTATAAAATATATTTATTTTTTATTAATTAGCTTTTTTCCTGTTCAGTTAATATATCCTTTTGAGCAATTGCTGGACAATTTTGGTTTTTATAAGTATGTATTTTGGTTTCTGGATTTTTTGTGAACTTCAATTTTCAGCACGAACACAACTTGGATGAATGAGATTATTTAATTATTTGCATGGAATTAAAATTCGCGTCGATTTAGCTTTTTTCTCCTTTATTAATTACTAGAAAAATTTAGTTTCCTTTTGTTGGGAATTATTAGATTTTTATATTTAGCGAGATGCAATGAAAAACAAAGACTGAATGAATGAACGAAAAATATCTGACAACTGTTTTATGTTATTTTCTTTTGATAGTCTACAATAGAGCTGCCACTTTCTACAAACGTAAGTAAAGTTATTGGAAAAATGGGTTGATATAACTGACATAGCCGGCATTTAAAATTTATTCACCTATATCTTTGTATATCTTTACWAAAAAAAGAATAATTTTTACAAGAAATTGTTTTAACTAAATCTTACTCTCTACCATTACAAAATATCTGCTTTTTAAATAATTGCACGAGTATATGGCAGCTTGCCTTACAACGGGTTTACACAAGAGATAGTTATAGCTTGGAATATAAATTCAAGTTTTTTTAACAAAGGCGCATTGTGAAAATGCTGAATTACTTATTAYCCGATATTTTTTTAATATTGGCTACTAAATATTAGAACATTATCAAAYACAGTACATGTTTTACATAATTTTATTAATTACATATTATTATATAACAAAATCACCAAACATTTCCAACAATACATTAGTTTACTCCTCCCATCAGGTTTACTACACGATTTTTGTAACGTTTAGAAATATCATTCTCAATATGTAATTGGAGCTTTTTCGTTTGTGATATTAGCTCCGCTAAAACTGGATTCAAATCTACGCGTTGTTGTTTCAATTCCAAAGAACGTTTTTTAAGAAGTGCTTTCGTGTCACGTATTTTATCAACGGCTTTTGTCATTTGTCGTAACTTATTTGCCAACAAATCAGCATATTTAGGTGAATGTTTTAATTGGAAGAGGTGGCGAGTTTGCTCGTTACATACTTCACCCAAAATTTGTTCAATATTCTTTAACATTTTTCGTATACTCTCTGCATCATATGTGGAAATGCTATCCATCAGCGAAAACATAATATTGCTAGAAGCGTCCAATTGGTTAAGTTCATATAGTCGCATACGTAAAAATGCCTCAAGTTCGTAAATTTCATCGAGAAATCTATCCCGGTAAGTGGGTGAATCAAGAATTGAGTAAGCTTGTTCCCCTGTATTAGAAAACGAAATATATTAATATATATTAAAAAAAGTTAGATAATATTTAAGTTACCTTTAGCAATGCCACCATCCATGCCAGTGCCCTCAATAACTATACCGTACTCTTCAATAGGAATGTCAAAATTTATCTCTACAGTCTCATTCCGACCACTTTCAATGCCCCAATCAATGTCACCACCATTTCCATCCGAATCTATTGCGCTGTTGTTACTATCTAAATTGAGTTCTCCGAAATCAATAATTTCTGCCGATATTGTAGACGAGGTTCCTCCATTATCATCGCCACCAAAATCGATTTCATTATCATCTGCACTACCAGTCAAAGTGTCATCATTTAAATTTAATTTAATTGGGGGTTCCTCAATAGTTAAAGGTTCTTCTTTATGCACATATTGATAAACGGTTGTGTTGCCAAATTCGATGAGGTGGCGTAGTATGGGTAAAATTTGTTTGTTACTTCCTTCAGAGAATAAGTTAATTGCTTCTTCTAATTTGCCAATATCACGTATTGAATAGGCATATATGTCTGGTAACTTAGACAAAACTTGTAAGAATTCGTCATGCAAATTTTCGCCTTTTACTCCCAATTGTTGCAAAAGTGAAGCATGTTCGGCTAGTAATTGTGATTCTGGTTTGCCAAGATCTTGAACCYTCTTCAAACATTCATCGCTTTGTTGCTCTAATTTTGTCATTTGCTTTCGAATACCAGGCACATCATAATTGACATTGCGCACATATATTTGGGCGGACTCGGCAAGATAGACGTTATCTTTTTCATACAGACGTAGTATTTCCTGCCAGTCCTTCATTCTCTGACTTCCATAGGTTCCAAATACGCTTTTTGTTTCCTTTTCCGTTTGTTTTAGAATCTCAACAATTTCTTTACAGTGGTAGTAGTTTATTTCTGTAACCAAAAAAGAGAAAAAATAAATGATTTTATTGGTTTCCTTTATAGCAATTTGTTAATTATTTCACTTACTAGTCCCAGACAATAATTTAATCAGTTGGTCATTGGCTGGCATATCTTGAAGAGCATTTGAAATCTTTGTGCGTATCTCTTTGATATTCTTTTGAATAGTTTTCGGCACAATCCTTCTGCTTACCAACCAATCTTGCAGCTTCAGAGTGTGGATGTCAATGGGAATATCTGCTTCCTACAWCATTTGTAATGAGTAAAATATCAATGCAAACAAAATAACTAACAATTGAACTTACATTCATTTTAATTAGTTTAATGTATCAAACAAAATATTTTATTGTACTTGTCCACGCAAACAAAATATTTTCCGCTCTGCTTCTTTCATTCATTCAGTCAAAATAATTTGTTTATTATCGATAATCTGGTTATCGATATTTATAAATCAATAAACTTCAAAGTTAATTCTTATGCAAAAATTATATATATTTTTTTTTTCTCGACACGTGTATGTAAGAATTGAAACAATAATAATATTATCAATATTTAACACATATATAAAATTTATTAAGGACTTTAGCATTTCTATGAAAAAATAAAGATACCATTTTTATTAAAAAAAATTCATAACTGCTAGGCACTAGCACACTTTATTCAATCAATTAAACAAGATTTACCATATAYATTTTCGGAAATCGGGGTGCCACCAAGGAAAAGCTTTAACGCTTGCAACTTTGGGATATTTCACTGTAGTAATCATTTTACTAGACGAGTCTCCAAAATCTAATTCYAAGTTTATGGCGCGCATGTCTTTAGCAAGCATTTGTCACGTCCCTAACAACAATAAACGCGATCTTCCACTTTCGTAAAACAGATGAGTGGGAAAAGGTATAAAACGTTCACAGCGTATTACCAGCAAACACACACCTTCATTTATGTGGTTTTTAGCAGGAATATATTTTGATTTCATACACAATTTATTGTCTTCCGCCAAAGCCTCCCAGTCGTCGGTTTCGCAACCATTTAACAGGATTTCATTGAAATCACGTCCTTCGTTGACTTCTGCTTGATTTTGCTGTTTGTTGCAAAATTTATAGCATGCTTTCCATACACAATCCTCTTGTTCATGCCATGAAGATACATAAGAATATCCAATTAACTTATCTAGAGAATACCCTTTCGCCATACGTTCTGACAATGGTGAATAGGTTTGGAATAGTGATTCYACTACACGCGCACGCATTGTGGCCAACTCGCAGTTAAGTACGTTATGCGACTGCAAGTGTTCAGGCAGTGTAAGTATCCAATTAGTTTCAGCACTTGATTTCTGGCAATAAATTCTGTAAATATTTTTCCAAAATCTTTGTGTATTAACAAGTGCTGCCGTTTGACGGCATATTAAAGCAAAGGTTTGAACATATTCAGGAGGAATATGATCCGCAATATGGTACCATATATCGCCATGTACTATGTTGTAACTCATTTGTGGTTTATCATTGTTGCTTCGTTCCATTGAACTTTCAGGTCTCCACTCCACACGTCCTGCTCCTCTACATTTACCGGCACGATCTCTTAACTTTATCTCAAGGTATATGTCATTCTGATGTAAATGTGTTTCTGCAAATATAAATTAGTGTTATTATAAAACAATCGTTTGGTAGACTGGTATAAATACATACTACACTTCCCTTTTGTTTTGATAAACTTTTCTTGAATCAGAATTGTCTCGTCTTCATTATCAGCAAYGTCGTCAGCAATCATTTTTCATTTGCAAGTTAAATTTTTGTATAACTTCGTCCGATTTGTTTTTATTTATTGTTATGCATTACTAATATTACTTAAATTACTGGCGTCAGATCAGCTGTAATAACGGTTGTTGATAAACTAAGGGATGCCATTATATTATGAATCGTAATAAGTAATTCAAGTATACTTCTAAAATTACATATTTTTTTGCAATAATTTGTATTTTTATTAAAAGAATATGCAGAAAGCTATACTTGTATTTGCTGTGAGTTTCTTAAATAATTTTTTATTTAGCATGACATACATCGACTTTTAACTTCACCTTGAAAGTGTTATTGTGAACTAGTAAGTACGTTGTGAAGAAGCACCTGTATGACGAATTGATAAATTGATTCAGTAAAAAGTTACGTCAAAAAGAAGTCTTCATTTATTCATTAATTATTCTTATTAAAATCTAAATAAAAGTATATGTAACGTGGAAAAATCTGTTAATCTGAAAGGAATTGTGGTAGAAAACAAACCATTCTGTGAAAAATACTATGGCGGAATCAATTGTACAAGACTGGCTGGCAGATTACCGCCGTATACAAGGACAGCCAGCTGAAGTGACAACCTTCGCTGTGGAGCATGAAACCGACCCTGAAATTGCTGAAGCCATTTATACCATATTTAGTGAACGACAAAGACACGAAACTTTGGTTCATGAAATTTGTCAGCAGTTTCTGTCATTTTATCGTGCTTCTGAAGATTCGCTCCGAAAATTTCCTTTACAGTTCATTCCAGTATTGATCTATACTTATCTGCATGCCGTCGCAGCTGGCGACAAAAAAGGTGCCCGTAGTGTAGAGACATTACTAATATGCATTTACAATGCGGAGATATCCACTGAAGACGGCGGTCAACATGTAGTCACTTTCCGTATGCCGATATTAGCACAAGCGTCGGTATACCATGAGGAAAAAAATTTACCAATGACAGATTTGCGGCGTTGGGAAGAAAACTGTAACCGAGAAATTAAGTGGGGTCCACATACTCAGATTGAGGCGATTACGGCGCAGAATAGGTTACGTATTATGACTGCACTAATGTTTTGTTATAATCAGCAAGTTAGCCTTACGCAAAAATCCGCTTTGATACATCTTTGTCGTGTGGCATCGCAGTTAGTTAATCAAGGCTTTTCAAAACAACATGCACATCGAATCTCTTATGGGTAAGTATATGAAACACTCCTAATTTGACATGTTTTTATAACGCTTATATGAATTTCTTAAGTTCTGATTCGAGTGGCGCACTTGTCCCAAAGTCAATAACACCGCGCATTCCTCTTTCCTCATCATTTCTGGTAGAGCTGGTACACGCTATATACTTTGCAATGTTTAACGGTTTTGGAACAGTGGCGATACAAACATTAGACGACATCCATCATCGCGCATGTTTTGAGATGTATACGGAGCTTATACTTGTGACGAGTGCTGTGAGAAATTCATTACACGCAAATCCCTCCGGCCAGCCAAGTGATGGACCGATGGGACTTAGCGTAGCCCTTACACCTGCCACGAATACTGTGACTACAGCCATTTCCAAATCGATGATCACGAATGCGTCATTCCGTACTAAAAAGTTACCTGATGATATCCCTATACAAGTTCAGGATCTCACAATGCCACAAGCTCCTCCGATGTTGGCTAGTGTTACTGAAGAAGTCGATCCTAAAGACCAGCAACAAACACAAAATACGTCGTCGCGAAATTCTATCATACGTCCTAGCATGGAAGGCATAAAAGCTCAGGCACATAAAGCGTTAATTGCTGGTTTCAAAAAGTCTAAAGACAAAGAAAAGGATAAAGACAAAGAGAAAGAAAAGGATGGAAAAATAGTTGGAGCTGGAGCGGCAGGCGAGCCCCCAAAACCACCGCTTCGAAAATTTGAAAAACACACTCARCGGAACTCGTTGCTACAATTACAAGCTGAGGGCAATAATATAGCGTTAAACGATTTCGAGAAAAGTCCGTCTTCAATGGGCGTGAAAGGAAAACCCTAYGACTCAATTGATACTACGGAAATGTTACCCATGCAAACACTTCTTGCTAATGAGAATGGCAGTGGTAGCTTTAGTATTGACAGTGAAGTAAATGGGGGCGGTGGAAGTAGCAATATGTTGAATAACAGTAGCGTAGCTAGTAATACAAATTCAATCACGAGCAGTGACTTGATAACAAAAAGTTTTGATTCAAGCATAGAAATCCCACAACTTGTGGGCCCTGCTGTTGTTGGAAGCAACACTAAAGTGGGTGATGTGGGTATAGATTAGTGCTATAATACTTCCAGAAATTGAAGTTGTGTTTGAAAGCGATCAAACGATTGTTGCGTGTGTGCCAAATGTTGGGGAAAGCTTCCAACATTTATTTTTATTGAGCGACAATTATGCTTAAAACTGTTAAATATTACAATATCTATTTCAATACCACTTCAATTTTAACGTAAGAATAATTAATACATATAAATATACATATATATATATATATATAAATAATTGTTGCTAGGTATAAATAGAGTGAATGAATACTGGTGATTCGGTGTTAATAGGGCTAAGGCAAAACAAACACAAATTCAATATAATTTAGTAAATTACGACGAAAATCTAACATGAATTACTACTATTTTGTGCACGAACATTTAAAAGWCACATGGAACGGAAGAGCAAAAATTATGGTATTATTGTGTACTTCAGTAAATGTGTACTTAAAATCAGTTGGGGGAATCGGTTGCAAATTTCACTTTTGTTCCCTTCTTCTCTAAAAAAAACTGCTTACATAAAGTTCGGAAATTTCTAATATTTAATAAAAACTATCAAAAACGAAATGAAAATGCATGAATGTCATATACATATGTGTGAATTTTGTATTATCTAGCATTGTTATAGTGTAGAAACGGTATGACAAACAATCGAAATTTAATTTATTTAATATATTCGCAGTAAAATTAGTATTTTTGAAATTTGTTACAACACCGATTTGTATAGTACAATAAAAGAAGCGATTTATAAAGTATATACCTACATATACATCATCTAATATCACTCATGTATTTATAATGATNAAAAAAAAAAAAAAAAAAAAAAAAAAAAAAAAAATTATAATGGTTGGAAAATGGCATAAGCACAGGGACTATACATCACCAATTGAAAATTGATTTGCAAACCGAATAAAATGTAAAATTATGTTATTAAAATATATTATTTTATCTTGTTAATCCCCTTAGTTAGTTGAATTTAAGCATTAGCTCAATTTACTTCCAATGTAAATAACATATACCACTATTTTCTTTGTAAGTTTCAGTTAATATAATAGAATGAAAAACTAGTAAATAAGCCACTTGAAAAAGTTTATAATCTTATTATAATTATTCCTTTTGATTCTGAAAACAAGTAATTATATATACTATATTTAAATGTATTTATTCCATGTTATCAAAAAGATGTTATCTAATATTAAATTAAAAGAATACAACTAATAAATGAYTCCCAATGATTGAAACAAATATCCATGGTAATGTAGTATTTACAATTATCTCTTACGAAACTTGGATTGTAAGAAAATGCGAGGCACATCTATACCTTCTTTGATATTTAACGTACGTCTGTGCACATAAGAATTTTCAACAACTTYAAACCTTTCAGAGTCTGTAAATAATGATGCCAATTCACCCTCTGCAAAGAAGTAACTTCTTGTTCCATCTTGTCGCATGTAAAAATTCTCTGCTATTTTGTTGCCTGGTTTGAAACGCAATTGTGCCATATCGTAGCGTCCATAATCTCTAAAAAGCACTATACCACCAGATTTCAGTAAGCGGTAAATATTTTCTATAACAATACCAAATTTATTCGGATGTATTGCAGATAATACAAATATCATTGTTACAATATCCAAAGAGCTCTCCGGGATATGTGCGTATATTTGTTCAGTGGTAATGTCACATTGAAAAGCGTGTATACGCTGCTCATCGTACAGTGGATTTGATTGCACAAAATCAATAGCACGAGGCGAAAAGTCACAAGCATAATAAAACCAAGAACTATTTCTTTCCTKTTTTTGCTCTAGTTGTTCCTCTATTAATGGAAATATTAAATTCCCTACTCCACAACCCACTTCAAACAAAAGCCGCTGTTTATTACTGCATCCAATTTTTACATTACGGGTTTCGCCTTCAAAATCCAACAATTCCTCAAATTCACGTGTTGTCCAACGGCGGTCTTTAAAAAAGTGAGTCTCATTTCTTTTGTAAAATATATCCCAATGACGTTGAGCTTGTTCTTCAAGTTTCTTTGCTTTAAATTCCGGCACCAGACGATTGTCTTGTGCCTTCAAACGACTTTTTTCTTCATCGGTAAGGCATTTATCAACCTTGGTAAAAATGTCCTTGACAAGGCGGTCTGCTTCCCGATCTGCACATTCCATATTTATCCACTTATCATTTATTTACGTTTTTATATTTCAGCTGCTCTCATTTAATTGACAACAAAAGTTTATTGTGAATGCTGTTTCAAATGTAAATTATGTCGGAGCATCTCGACCGAGCATGTACATTGCTAGCAATCTGCCGAATATATTGCCATGAGATTGGCAAYGTTCTTGTGAGGACATTTGATCGGAGAACATTATTTTATGTTCAATGGTCAAACAGGAAAAATGACAGCGTATTGGTACAATGAATAGCATGAATTTTTTTAGAAAATTAATTGCTAAACATTAGCAATGTGCAATCTCTATTGGCAATATTGCCAGCAATCCAAATTTTTAGCAATCTTAAATCGTGCTATTTTAAATTTCCTTCAATAGTTATGTCATTTACAAGGCATTGATTAAACAGACCCTATCTGAAGTGAAAAAAAATCGTGTACCGAATCTTCATATTGTTTGCGTTTTAATAAATTTATTTGTATATGGAAGTAATTGGTAAGGTTTAATATAAACAAATTGCTATGGAGTCAGAGCAACCATCAAGTACAATTTTATGTTATCCTACGGATTCAAAGGGGTATCCCAACGTTGAAGTGCTTAATGTTAATAATGTTGACTCCGGCGGAGGTGTTGTGTTAAATGATGAAAAACTTTTGGAATTAATACAATTGTATCCGTTTTTATACAACCCACGAGTGCGACCATTTCAAGATACGGACTATGACGATTGGGCATGGAATCGCATTACGAATGCATTTAATGTGAACTATACGGGATTCTTGCCAGCAGTCTATTTTACCAAGGATGACTTAAAACGGCGCTGGAACAAATTACAACCTATTATAAAGAAAATGGCGAAAATGTTGGATCTAACAGCTATTCCGGAGCCTTTACGTCAAATTATAGTGAAAATAAGCATCCAACTTGAAGATCAAGTGACAGATGTGCGYGTGAATAACTTGTCAAGTGCTCAACAAGTAATATATGACAATATGAAAATGGTATCGCAGTTACCATTAAATAGACGTCTGCAGTTGGAAGCTGAAATGATGGACTTGATATTAAACGCCGAACTGGAATCAAAAGCTACCATTAAATTAACTTGCACACATTTAAAAACTATTGAAGATGAATATGAGGAATTACTCAATTTGATGAATCTTAAAGAAATAATCGTTTTAAAATCCACAGATACAATTTTCTTAAACGAAAAAACTGATAACTCACAGGAGCAAATTGTAACCAGTACAACGTCGAATGGAACTTCCGAAATTTGTTTAGGTAGCGATAGCAGTTCAGATACGAAATATGAATCCTTGAACATCATAGATTTCGAAGCTGAAATGGGAAATGGCTCCCAAATATATAAACCCTCTTGTAAGGTTAACAAAGATATTACTAAGACTAATACTGTTACAAAGTTACAATGGGTTCCGTTAAAGGATGCTTCTAAACATGTTAGACGCTGCATTATAAGATTAAAACGAACAAATATGGAAGACTACATACCACTGTCACGCATAAAACGACAGCGCAAAAGCACTTAGTCTTATATAGTTTGTGGAAAGGATATAAGTATAAGTAATTATATAATAGAGTAATAAGTTAATTTAAGGAATACGTAAATTAAATATTTATAATACTAGTAATTTCAATTATATACTTACATCTGATAAATAAATWAATTTTTTTGTATCGTCTTTTGAATTTTACTTTATTTTCATTCGATTTTTTTGAAATTACTTTTGCTTAATATTAAATTAGTTAATTATCTTTTTAGTGAAACTTATTCATATAAAGAGAAAAATTAAAAACGAAGGAAATGCACACACGGGTACACTTTTTAATATCAAAATTTCGTATCAAAATTACAAAAGAGTGTGGCGGCAGCGATTTCTCATTGAAAACATAAAATACGTAAGCTGTAAATTAAAGTGCATACCGTTCAATATACATACATCTTTGGGGAACACATATAGCAGAGAGAAATATAAATATATTTATACTTCATAAAATTACACATTCTTTGTACACAAAAACAAAACTTGTKTAATGACTGCAATTTAAATGTGAAATGCGAGAAATAGCAATTCAGAGTTGTTTTCCATTTAAATATATGCTCTATACATACATACATATGTTTCTTTGTATGCATGCACTTAAAATTTAAAAAAATTTAAAGCAATGGCCAGTCTAAAGGCAATTCTTAATTAAGAACTCTGAATGAAACGCATCATATCTTTATTCTAGCTTTTGTTATAAAGAAAACTTAATTAATAATCAAATTGTTTTTTTGTTTTAATTCCACAGTTATCGTACGCCATAAGCATTGAGGGGGCAACAATTTTTTTTTGTGGTGAATTACTTAATGGTGCACCTTGGAAAAATTAAAACTAAATATTATTTATTGATTTCACTTATGTGAATGTATGCCTGATTTTGTATATATAAAATTTGTTTTAACAAATAATACAATTTTTCGACAACCGTCTTTTGAATTTTAATTATTGTACAACGTATGTAAATTTTTCTAACAAACAGCAAGAAGGACATAATAGCCTGATACAACCGATTATGGCAGACATTTACGTTCACATTTCCTTAAAATTATTAAAACATTACAAAAACGAGAAACTAAATTTAATTAAAAAACGGATTTGGTAAAATTAAAAATGTGTTTCCATGTGTGTATGTATGTATGTTTGTGTTCACTTAGTTTACGTCGCTCATTCAAGTTATGTCATTTCCAGCACTTCAGAATAAAGTTGAAATGACCGCTCCAATATTTCCGCTGTTACCTTCCCTCAATTTGAGGCCCACACCTTTACCATAACAACGAACGAAGAGGGCACGAACAAGATTTAAACGTTTTTCGCGTCTATTATAACAAAAAAGTAAGATACACTTTTTTGAAAAAATTAAAAAAAAATTGTCAAGAATTAACTTACTCGGTCTTATATCGATGTTCAGTTGGTTTTGGTGTTAACGATTTCTCTTGTTCGCCATTACTAGCAGTCGCGGTGTCTTTCATTGTAGTTGGCAGTGTAGTATTACTTGTGTCAGAGSCATGACTGCTCGCAGCACTACTAAAACTAGTGCCACTTAAATTGCTGTCACCGCTTGGATTATGAACACTTGAACTACTATCTACTGTATCGCTCCCACTATTCTTTGTAGTGCTGCCATTGGAGCGTCTACTAGATTGAGTACTGCTGTTTGAATTCACTGAACCGCTCTCTGAACGTGTGGCAGCATGATTACGCATATAACTACCAGCTGCAACGGAATCTATGGAACCAGTTTCTGTCACTAAGTGCCAACTGCTGTTGGATGATACGGATTCTTGCCGTTGACGCGCCGAATTTGCACCTGGCACCGGCATAGGACTTGTGCGTGTACTATATTGGTAAGATCATATATTACGAATTAAAAGAGTTTTACACAAATGTATAGGTACTGTTGWACAAACCGTTTAGAATTAGGCGAACGATTAGGAATTGTTGTATTATTGGTCGTTGTTGCTTGCGGCGATGTGTAGATGTGTATAAGAGACAGGTACAAACCGTTTAGAATTAGGCGAACGATTAGGAATTGTTGTATTATTGGTCGTTGTTGCTTGCGGCGATGTGTTGGGTATTGTCATAGCGTTTAATGTATCAGTTACTTGCAAATCACAGTTGGAATTATTTGAAAAACTATCATTACTATCATGATCGCAGGCGGCTAAAAACAGTTCTCTGAAAAGAAACGAACAAAATTAAAGTAGWGAGAAGCTAGATCTGTGTTAATATGCATTTTACTCTCTTAAAGCGGCATCATCTTCCATTTTTAGTCCGAGCCCACAACTACCACTACTGCTGGTTGTTTTTGTACGTTTTCTATAAAAAACAAAATTAAGTAAATTTAAATTACTAAACAAGAATAAAAAAAAAAAAAGAAAGAAGATAACTTTAGTTACACCGAAGCGATAATATTCCTCAAAAATATAAAACTATTCCATATAGAACTTGATTTTGTTCAGTTTGTATGGCAACTATATGCTRAGTGATACGAATGGCACAACTTCTTCGGAGATTTCACAGTTGCTTTGGAAATTAATTCAATCCAAAATTCGTTAAAAAATCATGTCAAATGAAAATGTTAAAACTGCTTGGAGAGGAGTTCGGAAGCATAGGAGGACCTTCTATGTAAATGTTCGACCGCAGACATCAGCAGGCYTGTTATAGTCCGGAGTGCAGTGTTCTGCATGGCTGAAGCTTCTTCGTCTGTGTTTCACTGCATCCAGACCATATCCGTGCTGCGAAGCGTTACGCAAAAAATTTTGACGTTTTAACGTCTTAGACTTCAATGTTTAAGTATAGYCTATACTCCTTCGTACAGTTCGTGAATATGGTTGCTGTGGATTTAGTGGGGGAGTGTTAGGTTCCTTGCAGAGAAGAATTGAGAATGGTCGGAGAGATAACCACTTATTTTATCGTTCAGTTTGTGTGGCAGTTATAGTGGTTCCATATCGGCGGTTCCGATCGATATCTATTAAACTGATGGACTAGTTAGAGTAGAGTCCGTTCCCACGACAGTCGGGTCTACGAAAACCGGAACGGATCCGGATTTTTATCCGGCCAAGGACTGTCAACTCGGCAGAATTCTGCTGTTACAACAACAACACCAACAACAACAACAACAACTAGGTAGAGTATATATACAAACAAACGGACATAGAAACGTATATGGCTAACTCGACTAAGCTGGTCATGCTGATCATTTATATACACATACAATATGCATATTATAGGGTCTCCGCCGTTTCCTTATGTATGGACTGTTAATATTCTAATGTATAATATCTATTTAATCTGTTTTATTTAGTTACTAGGTAGCAGGAAAAAAAATCTCAAATAATCCAACTTACCTATGCTCGCCTAAACTGAATTCTTCGCTGGCGATAAATTTCAGCATGTGAAAACAAAAGACTATAATATCTTCGCCACGTTTCTCGCGACTTGGAAGTTGATGTCCAAATAAATACCAATCGTAGGCCAATGTGAAGTAAGTAATTTG